CCCAAAATAACCTTTAGCATATTGTGATTCAAGTGGTCTGAGAGAAAGCTAGACTTCTGCACCTCCTCTTGGCTTTGTCTTCATGCTTTAGTAAATCTAGTCCATGACAGGAGACTTTGACCAATCACAGGTCATTTAAGAGAGAGAGAGTGTGTTCCTATTGGCTGTTTTACATATGCAAATGTATGTTCCTTAAGTGAAAACCTGATTCGATGGCTGAAAATCTCATAAACAAGTTGCTATTCCACCATTGGCAGTAACTGCCTATGCAAAGGAAGACGATCTTCTCAAAAAGAGAATTTAAAAGAGAATCTGACAATAAATGAGATATGACACGTCAGTATCAGCCAAGTGTTTCAAAGATGAAGAGAGAATGTTGCTAATAAATTAGCCCACTGCTAACTGGAGCTAAAGGCTCACAGCTGTGGTGTCATGTTCATGTTTATGTAGCTAACATTAGCTAGAGCATTGAACCACAGGCCCTGTTTAGACGACAACGGTTTCTCTAAAAACGGAAAAGTCTGTCCTTTGCGTTTTAAAAAACTTCTGCGTTTATATGACGACGTTATTGAAACAATCCCCATTCACACAGAGCCGCAAAATCTACTGGAAACGCTGTAGTATGCACGCCACGCCAATGGGTGGCAGTGTAAATTTGCAAAGCAACACCACGGCATGACGCCATGCGCCTGCGCTGAAGCGCCTTCCTCTACAACGCGGTGATTACAAACCAAAACAAAGAAGACACACTGGCGAAAGCATGCACAGATAACTTTATCTGGATGGACGACGAGGTGGAGTTGCTACAGTAACAGATCTACACTTCACTTCAAATCAACAGGGTGAGCAGCACAAACAGAGCTCAGCATTGTTGTTGTGACGGTCGGCATGCCTAGTGACTGGAACCGTAATGCACATGTGCGAAAAGTCTCTGTTTTCAGAGGAACTGCTTATTGCAAGTTTACATGACAACAGAGACGTTGCCGTTTCCAAAAAGTTGCACTCTGGAATCCATTTTCAAAACGTTGCGTTTTCAGGCACCCAAAATGCCGCTGTTGTGTGAATGATCAGCCAAAACTCAACTACAGTTTACCGTTTTCAGTTGAAATCGTTTTCGTATAAACAGGGCCACAGTGTGTCCTCCGCCTCACCCCCTGCCACTACAGACCGCCTTGCTGCAGCAGCTCAAGAGACAGCCCGCTCACATTGCGAAGTCGTCAAATACCGGTGCTTTGGCAGGGACTTTTATGTCAGACACCAATAAAAAATGCCCCCCTTTTATGTCAGCATAATGCACAGCCGGGTGGCGTTAGTGTGTAACGGTGCCCTAGGGCGTCAGGAGGAAAGCGGCTAGAAAGTTAAGGGAGCGAAAAGTCCAAGTAGGGTAGGTGGGAGAGGTTTGGTGTATGGGTCCAGCAATCACTGACTTTAACCTGGGACGCCAGTTTTCGTTTCCTGTATAAATGTAAAGCCAAAGCCTATTACATTTTCCTAAATGTAACCACATGCATTTGTTGTGGAAGGAATAAAAGGTCAATTTGCAGTGTTGTACCATATGTAGTACGTTTATTTCAAAATATGATATTTCAATAATTTATGACGTGCGACCATATGCCTGTGGTCATCTGGTGGGAGGGGCTTAGGACAGAGAGGACAGAGCTGCAGGAGGAGGGTGATTTTTTTTCAGAATTCTGCATTTTTCTTTTCTTACACCTTTTCCTACCTCAGCCTTTATCACCATCGGTTTACTTCTTATTGTTTGACATGCTGAGACCTGGGGCCGTATTCCTAAAGATTCTTAGCACAAAGAGTTGCTCCTAGTGGCCAAATTCTAAGAAAATCTTAGAATCATGATGTTTTCCAAGAATTTGCCCTCAAAGTTAAGAGTAGATCCTGGTAAAGATAAAAGGTATTCCTAAAGAATCTTAGCTCTTAAGAGAGCTCCTAAGGTGAGATCTGTTAAGAGCAGGGAGGAGGACTTTTAAGGGGCTTAGGAGTTTCGTAAGCAGAGGAGAAAATGGCAGAAAGAAGAGGCAGGAGAGATATTCTCCAAACACTGAATGACAGTGAATTAATTAAATGCTATACATTGGATCGTGCAGCAATCATGTTCGTGGTTGATCTCATTAGAGATGCGCTTACTTCTCCAACCCAATGCCACAGTGCAATATCACCGGAAATGAAAGTCATCACTGTGGTATTTAGCAACAGGAAAAATGCAACAATGCAGCAGTGATGACTTGGGTCTGTCACAACCCTCCATCAGCAAGGTCATCAAGCAAACACAGCACTGTCACAGCCTCATATTGTGACGAAGTTTGTTTCGTTTCCGCTGGATATCCACACTTTACAGGCTCATAAAAGGGCATTCATGGACATCGCAGGATTCCCCGGTGTTGTGGGTGTAATTGATGGGACACACATCTGTATAATTGCACGGTCAGAAGATGAAGCCGTCTTCGTGAACAGGAAGAGATTTCACAGTATCAATATTCAACTTGTTTTCATTGCTGACTATAAGATTTTGGACATTGTTGCTAAATGGCCAGGCTCAACACATGATGCCAGAATGCTCTCTGAGAGTGGTCTCAGACAGCTTTTCGAGGGACATTATGTGCCAGCCAATTGCCACTTGTTAGGGGACAGTGGCTACCCATGCAAACCATGGCTCCTAACACCTTACCTCCATCCAGACCAAGGGCAGCAACTAAACTACAACAGGTAACCCAAACAATATAGAATTATGCCTGGAAATAAAATGTAAAGAGCATGTTGGAGTATCCTAGTAGTTGGCCCAGAGTGGACTGCCTTACAGAGCCCAATTTACAAATTTACATTTCAGGCAAGTTATAGTATATGTAATTTAAGAACTTGTGACTGCAGTCAACTAATATACTAATTAATATTTACTACACGTAGCCTACAATAGTTAAATACATGACACATATTAAACACAAAGACACATGAATACATAATATCTATTTATTTTTTAGGAAATCAATTTTTAGTTGGTAGTACTCCTCCTGTAGGCATAGAACTCTTTTCTGCTGTCTGAGGACATCCATTGTCATCTCCAGTCTTCTGTCCTGCAGGGATGGTGTTGGAGCAGCAGGCAGGAATGGTGTTTGAGCAGCGGCAGCAGCAGCAGCAGCGGGCAGGCTGAACTGTGATTCAGGCTGAGGGTCGTACACCTGCGATGAATGCCAACCAACACTGCTTCTTATAGGCCAGTTAGCAATCACAGAAAGTGATGAAAGCTGAGCCATCTTACCCTCGTTAATACCAAATGGATGAAGTGCAAAAATTACCAGCATGGTAAATGAATGTAAGCAAATAAATATAACTATCAGCATGTGAATACTGTGCAAGTGGGCCTGAGTTTTCACACATCTTGTAGGATAATTTTAAAGTATAGCTTACTATTTATTTAACAGAGATTTTCTTTTGATGTAAAATATTATTTATAATTACACAGTCTTCATAGAGATTAGATTCTATGATTAAGTCTATTGATTTGATGGTCCACTCTATGCCCATTATTACCAAAAGTGTATTTTTATCTAGCTTTTAGGATCAACCAATCACACCTTTTGAAATGATGACTCATACCTAGCAACGGGGTCAACCACACCTCCTCACTAAGATACGAGTTTCTGTCCATTCCTTGCTCAGAGTTTTCTGAGAATGTTCTGGAATCACTCCTAAGCTAAGACTCCTTGCTAGGAATTTTTAGGCTAAGTTAGGAGCTCTCTGAGAGGATTCTCAGAATCTTTAGCCCAGGACATTAAACACTGTTTCTGCAACCTGGGACAGCTGCTTAGCAGGTGGTCCACCCCCTAAAAAACAATCCAGTAACCAATATGTACACATTAATTATGTATTTAAATTAACTTTACCAGCAGTTGTAAGTAAGTGGTCTCTGGTCGGCCCCTGGTCTCTGGCACCCTCTGAGCTGTTCATTTATTTAATTCATACACTTCATTAATTATTTTATATTTATCTTCACATTATAGACAGCACAAGCCACCCGCCCCTAGACAATCCAGGATCTGCTTTTAATTCCACAGTGTGGAAACAGGGGAGCTCGGCTGCATTTAGATGACTCCAAGGACAGTTTCCTGATAGGGAATATAGGGCAATTAACATCAGCAGCCTGAAGGATGTGGATTAAGAAAGAAAGAAATTAAGCCAGGGAGAACAATTGGGAGCATGAACTATTTATCCCACTTGACTTTTTACACGTTTTTGTACAAATAACCTAAATAAAATATATCCTGTCTAGCCATCTTTTAAATTCATCATGGTCAGAATTCAAGAGGTCTGAAGAATAACAGCTCACACATACAGTCCTCAAAGCATTAGGATCTGATCACTGAGCTTCATGAGAACCTGTGCCAACAGTGAACGTGGGTGTGTTCAACAGATTCAGTATGCAGTGTGTCAGAGTTTCTCTGCCCATCTTGAAGTCATCAAGACTGGAGAACAGTTTGGCCTTTCTCTCTCCCTCCACCCTGCTGTTTTCTGCCTGTTTTCTCAACCACTACTGTTTCCTTCACCCAAGGGTGGGTCTGTGGCCTCCACCAGGAACACCAGCATGACCTTCCTGCCAGCATTCCAGTACACACACACACACACACACACATGCACACACACACATGCACACACACACGCACACACACACACACACACACACACACACACACACACACACACACCACCAGGGTACCCAAAACAGCAGAAAGGTTAACAGAAAATAACAAACTACAGCTGAGAAACATTAATGATATTCTAAAAAGAAAAAATAATCAGAGCTAATACACTCAGAGCTTAGAGGGAGGGTGGATGAGAAGGATATAGTGATGTGTAATAGTTTGGAAGAAAGCCTGGGTAAGCAAGCACACCTGCAGCCTGCAGAGAGAGAGAGAGAAAAGGAAGTAAGACAGAGAGGAAGACAGAGAGATAACAGCAGAGCAAAGTGGAGAGAGAGAAAGAGGAGGAGCAACAGAACACAGAAACACAGAGAGGCAGAGAGCTCCACACACATCAGTTAGTGGCTTTAGGAGGACAAGAGTGAGAGAGGACATAAAAAGAAGGAAGAAGAAGAAAAGAAAGAGAAAGGAGAAGAAGAAACTAAAGAAACAGACATACAGAGGAAAGTGAAAGGCTGAGGGAGTTGTTGCTCGGTTGGAAATCCATCCACTTCACTTTGTGTCCAAGTAAGTGGACAAAACCAGTGTGACTGGGAGTCTACTGGGAGGACGGACTGGTTTCTACCCACAGTGAGCAGACTGCCAAGCACCATGGCTGACAGCGTGAATGAGGAGTCGGATTATAACCCAGGGAAAGATGAGCTGGACTGGGGCTATGAGGAAGGTAGGTTGCTCTTTAGCAGTATGTGAAGGGATGCTGGGAAATACGGGCTGTTAGCTGCTATAAAAAGTTGAGGGTCCAGATGGGATTGAAAGTGGTGTGAACCCAAACCTTAACGCACTTTATCTAGTCTTACTGTGTCAGCCTCTTATTTGTGTTAAAAAGTTCTACTGTGTTGACACATATTCTAGCTCCAGTTTTTGTTATTACACTGTAAAAATAACTGTCAAAACAAGATGTAAAAATGATTTGCTCCCCTCTGTTACAGGTTACTCTGATATATAGAAGTGGTTATAAGTGAAAGCTTTTAAATGCACTGTTTTAAACAGTTATGAAGGTGCTGTTAAGATATACATACACAACACTGGTTTGTTTTTAATAAATTAACATATGTAAATGAAGACAAACAAGAGTCTTACACTAAAACTTACAATTTTTCGACAGGGACTTTTCATCTGGTTTAGTGTCAGAAAATGGATATGACTTAAAAGAGAAATAAATGCTTTTCTTAAGCTTTCGCTGACCGAGTCTGTTTGTTATTGTGTGTAACAAAGTCATGCGCAAGGAAAAGTGTTGTTCTGAAATCTGACAAACTTTTCCACATTGTCACAATCAGCCAAATTCAGTCATGACACTGAAAATATTATAGATGACACTGAGCTGCCCTGTCTGTACTTCAACACCACAAATTCTTCCAGGCACTCTCATGCAAAAAAGGCGCCTATCGCGAGATTTCAGAACGAGACTTCTCCTTGAGCGAGGTTTGGTCACAAGAACAAAAAGATCGGATAAAGCCAAAATTAAAGAAAAAGTTTTTATTTCTCTGCAGGGTACTACAGCACTTTTATTAAATACATAGACGATGCCTAATTTCCCTGATTGTTTACAAAGCAGCCTGTTTCACAGCTACCTGTTGCAGCCCTCTCTCTCAAAAGTGGATCAGTTTAAAAAAATGTTGTTCCCATTAATCACATAGGCACAGAATTTATGGGAAAATAGGGTCCAGGTTAAAAAATATCAAAGTTTTCCTTTACGGATGATCACACAGAACTGTTATGATCCATGTTTATTATAATATTATGATGACATAATGATCTTTCTCTGTTAATCTGTATTTATTTGTGTCCTTGTGCTGCTGCAACAACCAAATTTCCATGTTATGGACAGTTTTGCTGGATAAAATTAAAGGGGCATTCCAGCAATTTACAATTGCACCTCTATAAGATTGGGCAACTCAAAACAGCCAATATAACGGTCAAAACAGATGAAGCAGAGGCCTGGAGTTTCAAAGTGGAAGGTTCAGGAAGTATTTTAAACAAACCTATAGGTTTATTAATTACTGTGAAATCCTGTTTTTTTCCCATAAATTCAGCATGGTGTACTGCTGTAGGTACAATTCCCACAGGCCTCAGCCACTGTTACTGATTTAGACCTCCTCCACTGCTCCCATCATAACTACTATGGCCACTAAAGGGCTTTGTCACTTGAACTTAAAGGCTCTTTAAGTCTTCCTAAGCTTGAAAAGTTTTTGTCACATACAGCAAACATCTCCTCACAATCTGCTAGCTACATGTCCTCTGAATATGCTGTGAAAAAGTCCGGTCTCTGTAGGCAGCCCAGGCTCTGCAGATGGCAACAAAAACACTTCACTTCTGTTTACGTTCAACAATGTTATCAAACACAACAGAGCTAGCTTGCCTTTTAGCCTCATTGTAGCCTGTAGATCTAACTGCCTCTCTGGGCACCGCGTTCACGTGTGTGCTTTTGCGCGAGACCGTGAGACATGGGCACCGCATTCATGTGTGTGTGCTTGCTTTCGCTGGTCTCACGCTGGCTGGTTGGTGCAGCCTGGACCAAAATGTTTTTGTTGTCATTTGCGGAGCCTGGGCTGCCTACAGAGACCGGACTTTTACACAGCATATTCAGAGGACATGTAGCTAGCGGATTGTGAGGAGATGTTTGCTGTATGTGACAAAAACTTTTCAAGCTTAGGAAGACTTAGAGAGCCTTTAACAAATGTCATTTTGGGGTACTTGCTGAAACGACTGGTTCTATCGCTCTTCTTGAAAGGACAGCTCCTCTTATATCTATACAGGCTATACAGACTTTTTACCCTAGATTTTTTTCATCCAAGAGCCAGATAACTGTTCATCTTTTGTACTGATTATTCAACCAGGAGACTTTTATGCCCATCCAAGCCGTGGAAATGTGCCTACTGTCAATCACTTAACATTGTCTATTGAGAAAATGAATGAGACTTTTCCCTCTGGAACCAGGGGTGTCTGAAATAGCTCCTCTCACTTTGTAACCCTATTCAGTTCTCTCTGTCATGTCGAACTCTGCATTGCCAGTTTGTAATGCAGACTGTCTGTTATAATTCTTAACAGTCTCAAGCCCAAGCGATGACACACCAGAGTTATTTTCTTAGACATGACAGACATGACTCCTCCAGAACCACAGAAGACATCATACAACTGTTTTCACAGGCTGAGTAATAATCCCCATGACAGGCATGCTAAAAATTGGTGGAGTGCCCCTTTAACTAACTGCCAGCTTACAGTGTTTTTGGACAAACAAGATCATAGTGAAATGAGACAAGAGTCAGCACTTATAGAAAGGCTCACCTGGAGCTGATAGATGATAGCTCCAATTAAACTTTTCCACAGAAGGAAAGATCATCTGGACTCTTCTCATTTTCTTCTTCTTCTTCCTTTTTGGATTGTCCAAGACTTTACTGACAAAGAACTATAGTATAAGAACATAAATCTTACTGACATAGTAACAGTATGTCTTGCAGTTGTGATGTAATGACTTCATTTACTTTGTGTTGGTTCACTCTGTCTTCTTTCTATTGCTGCTTTTACTGAGCATCAAGGGATGCATACTGATATTGAACTGTGAAATTCTTACTGTGAGTATACTTAATGATATGTAATGCTTTGTAAGCATGAATTAGATGCTAATATAAGGCTTGCAAATACTATCTGTGTCCTGTGGAAACCTTTGGTCTTAAAGTAATGTTTTCATAATTAGAGCAAAAATGATGTTTCATTGACAGAGATATTATATTAGAATTCTAAAATAATTTTAATTGGTTATCATGCAGAGAACTACTCTGTCCTCAGGAGATTGAATGTTTTCTGCAGGACACCTGATATTAATAAGAGATTGTAAGGTCTTCATTAGAATGGACACCACTGGAAGAAGTGACATTGTAAGGGATTACAGTGTGAGATCATAAACTGTCACATGTCCCCCCACAAATGTTGCAACAAAACCTATGCTCTCGCTGTCAGCCAACTTTAAGGTTTGATGTGGCCACAGGTAGATAAATGCAGCAATCATGAGTCTTGTCTAAAGTCATCCTGAGAATTGTCCACAATTTTTTCTCAATCTAGGATTTCACTGATTTAGTCTCCACTTGACTCATTGCAACCATTTTGTTAACATGAATCCAACTATAATGCATTACTTTCCAAAATAAACATTAACATCAAGTCCATTGGCAACATAATAAAGAGACATGAACCTGTAATCACATTATACATATATTTTCAAAACGTCTTTTGCAGAATATAGTTACTGTCGTCTGGAAAATAATGTTTTCCATATTAAACTGTTGATGGAAAACTGATACAAAGATGCATGGATAAGTAACTATGCTGCAACTCTAAACTGCTTTCTGCCACTTTCAGTTCATTGTTTTGGTTCTCTGGACCAACCAACAAAGCCACTTTCTACAGAACTGTGTGCCAGCGCTCAGAGGACCCGTACCAGCACGAACTAACAGCAAGCTATCACTCCACCAAAGAGCTCAGACATGTCTGTAATAACAGCAGGGCAGAGAGGTCCATTATTCATATTGTAGTCATATAAAGATCAAAATCCCCACACCGTTTATTTATTTGACAATTGCAGGTCAGTCATCCTTTGTTTGGTGGTTTGTCTTGCAGCCATTTCAGGGTGATAAGTTTCTTGCTAACAGCCAAATGTACTTCAAAGAGATAATCATCATGTGCTAATTCAGTTATTTGAGATTTGGGCAATTTGACAACCTCTTCTTGTAACAAAAATAATAATAAAAGCCTAGAAAACACAAGATCCAGTGAGGGTTTAATAGCACACCTGTGGCAAAGGTGTGTAGATATTTAAGTAGTTGAATGCATAAAAATAAAACAAAATTATCTAAGATAAAGTGACAAACTGCACAGATTTTACTGCCCACTACATTAGCAGAATATGGAAACTCCAGTATCATGTTTCAACTTTGCAAAAGTAACTCTGTATTGGAAAATACAGTCCAACAGATGCTAACCCAGAGGCTCGGTGGGGGACCATGTCTCAATAACTTCACAGGCTAAATGCTAGCCTTGAGTTCATTTACTAAATGCAACATTAAATGATTTTCTGTGAACATGTGGACAAGTATACAAGACAGTCAGTTGGTCAGTTGTGTTAAAGAGGATTAAGCAATGCCATCTACTGCCATCCCAACCAAAACTAATCTCCATAGCTCTACAAGCACACAAACACACACACCCAATTTTGCACAGTCCTTTCATGTGTACTGTTGCTGCACTGAAACCCTCACTGCCTTTAGTAAATTGTTACCAAGGCTTTAGTTGCTGAGGAAAGAGGGAATGTGACGGGTCCCCTCACCCCTCTCTGCTGTGGAGAGTGTTCAGTGTCTGTCTGTGCTGCAGTTGCAGTAGAAAGGCGTCCAGAGAAGAGTTCATTTTCTTGAACACGACACTCACCAAATGTGTTCGCTTCTTCCCTTTAAAAACACACTGGGTTCCACACATCGAACAATGTTCTCATGGTGCTGTTTGAGTGATTGTGGTCCGCAAAAAGCTGAAGTGAATCTAGACCAGTGTGTACCTTTGGTGTCACTCAGTATCACTTTCTCTACCCTGTTTCTTCACTCTCTGCCTGTCCAGAAAGACTTACGTTGATGGAAACCGTTTTACACTCTTAACCTAAGACAATGTTCACCCCCTGCTGTTTGGTCAAAAATGGTAATGATATTAGAAAAGACATTACGATATCTCAATTTCTCTTACAAATGTACATGCTTATACAATGATTCTACAAGTCATCTGTCCCAGTTAGGCAGACAGGCTGACCCATCTGCAGCCACAACCTGCTTACATTTGCTTTTTAGGCACTAAAACTCTTACCTTCCCCCTTTCCCCCTGTCTCTCTCCCCTGTTTACAGCAATTCTCTCATTGTCACAATCACAGCAAGAAATCTTGTTCACAAAGTGGACACTGACAGCAGAAAGCTCTCAGAGGGGATGAATGGAGGGGTAGAGGGAGGGGAAGGGAAAAGGGTGGCAGGCCCCAGACTTTAGAGAGAAGAATCGTTTGTGTTTGTAACCACTGTTTTCCTAAAAGCTCTCTCTCTCTCTCTCACACACACACACACACACACACACACACACCGTGGAACTGGCCTCAATATAAATTTGTTCCTTGAGAGGATGTTGACAATAGCAAGAAAAAGAAGGATCTCATGGACTGACTTAAAAAATAAGAATAGTCCAAAGTCAAATTACTAACTTTGTCCAGAGCTTTCAAACACATATCATGGCCTTCAGTATGTTAAAATACTTTCTCAAAGGACAACAATGAACTATTTTCACATTTACTTCACGGAAAACTTAAATGCATGACAACCCGGAATTTCTTTACCACACTAAAATTTGACTTTGTTTTTGTCAAGTATTGACAAAAATGCTTTATTACAATTATACCCTTTTTCCATTGTCACTCTTGGCCCTACCAAGTAAAGCCATGCTGTGCCAATTTGTGTTTCCATTGTTAGTTTAGATGCGCCATGCCACGCTAAGCCACGTTGGAGATGGACCTTCTCAGGAATAGGTCCAAAAGCCAGGCCGCTGCAGCCAACCCCCGATGACCCCCGTTCTCCCCCCTAAAACAAACGTGTGTGTTGCAAGACTCTGCTTACCTCAGTCTGCAGGAGACCAGAGAGAGAGGCGTTTCTGAAAGTCTCTATGTGTTTATCTCTCAATACTTTTGAAGCTTCTATCTGGATCTCTCCGGTGTGGAATTTAGTTTCTCTCCTGCGTCCTGTTTTTACTTTACATATCGCCTTTATTTATGGTTTCATGTTAGCTATCTGCCGTATAAGAAGTTGTGTGAAGTTGCTGCTCAACATTTCCTTGTTTTGGTGCTTTGCAATAAAAGTCTATACATAAAAAAAATTGGCGGCACGGTGATGCAGTGGTTAGCATTGTCGGTTGGCAATTCAATCCAGCCCATGATTGTTGAAAAGGGGTGTTATTCATTCAACCTACTGTATATCCAGGTCATGTAACAGCACAGATAATAATGTCTTTTACATTCTAAAGAGCAAATAGAGAAGAAACTTCAGCAGCAATGTAAAATACGGCGAAACAAAGAAACTTTGCACTGGCAGAAACAAAATTTAGAGTGAAATTAGAAAAGCGATAGCCTATTTCATCTTTGGGTGTTTGCAGCAGTATAGCTCTGTGGTATGTTTAGCATAGCTTAGCAGAGACACTGGGGGCAGGTGAAACTAGTCTGCTAGCTTTGTCAGCAACCACAAAACTGTCGTAACTGAATTTAATATGTGTGTGGGTGTGTGTGTTTGTATTTTGACATAAAAATGAGAAATGAATCATTGTGGTTTAAAACAACTGTTAAATGAGCCACAGCTGAGCCTGGTGAGCGCATGCTGCATGTCAGATGTTCAGTATGTAGTGAGGTTTGTCATACTTTCTTGACCCAGGTATGTACTAATGACAGATGTTCTGACTAAAACTATACAAATTATACAACATATAATTGAGGCGGTTTTGGAACTATTATCTTAACATGTTCTTATTAGCTTTTGACAGAAGCTAGCTGTTTCCACTTGAAGTCAGTCTTTCTGGTAAGCTATGGGCTAAACACGCAAACCCACAGAGCTATCTCTCTATTAAATGAGACTAAACTGATATTGACCGTTTTCATTGCAGACATTTAGACAATATTCATGTAATTCGGTTTATGGCTAGCTCTCACTGGACATTTAAATTGAAAAGTATGGTAATTTATGTAATAAACTGATGTGCATTTCCTGTTATAGTGAGCCAAAATAGCAAGTTTTAAAGTGCAATTTTTTCATCAGTTGACAGCGCTCAAACATGGACACTAACTGTGTAGAATCTGGAGAGGGGTATGCAGGGGACATCCAGGCCTGCCATCAGGGGGTGTCAAAAGGTACAGATGACCCCCAGCCCAAGGCCAAGGGGAGGCCCATAAGGAGGTCTATGGTTGACCCTTAAATTGGATCAAGTAGAACAATTTAATCACTGACTTAAATCACTGACAATACAAGTTATAGGTATTTACATGATAAATACATGTATTTTTATTATTAAACCAATTTCAACATGCCACCCCCTACAGGTACTGTGAAATGGTTCAGTCCATATCACAGAGGGGTAAGGTGTGTGATGCACAGAACTCACAAGTGCCGCTCATGTAAATACGTACCCTGTAAAGCTGTCATGTCAGACAGAGGACCAAATAATGCTCCAAATGTATACTAAATTTTGGGTAGGGAAAAGGATTATTACCATTTTTCAAAATGGTGTATTTAAATATTTCTGTAGGAGTCCCTAAACAGTCTTGGAATTGCAGAAATTGGGTTTGACTAGAAAACAGTGAGCTGACAGCCATATACTCTTTTACTTTATTTTAGTTCTGCACACAATCCGACCAATGTTTTAAAGCAGCCTCAAGATTAAACGAATAAATGAAGAAAAAGAATATTTTCTCACTCCTACTTCATTTGTATGATTTAATACCTTGCAGTAAGTTCCTCAATCATTGTTTGATTTTACTTTCCCTAATCATTCATTAGAGGGCATTTTTGGCCCAGTGGAGGGTCAAATTTCTCTTATATCATAGAAAAAATGTTCACACCTACAGTAGAGTAGTTTTAAACAGGTTTAGAGCCCATCAAAGAAAAACAGTAGAAGACTGTTTATATTGAATACACAAATCTGTCTCCATGCTTTGAAGTATAATATTTAACAAGCTAATGCCATCTTCTGAGTACTTCAGACTAATCCATTGTGTCTGTCTTTCTGTGTTTGTTTTTGTGTTTTCAATTGAGGAGTGTCACTTGGTTTAACAGTGCTGCTTTGTGTCTGATTTGACAGATGAGCCCAATGGAGCCTGTATTGTAGCCTTTATCATCCAGTGCTGTAGAAATGCAATTTCCTAATGTTTTGTCTAAATGACTGACTGGGGGAGTGCTTAGGTTGTCAATACTGTACTTTCATATCTCCATCATCCCTGTTTATTGGCGAGCCACTGTGTAGGTGAACTTTAGAGGCAGGTTAACTAGCTGACTGCATGTGGGAAAAGATTATTAGTTATGTGTTACTGACAAAATACAGTTTCTCTGAGGCAACCTCATGTAACTAAATAGCTAGAGGACAGCAGGTTTAAGAATATGTTTAACATGCATCTTTTACTATGAATACTTGAAGGAGAACTTTAAAAATATGAAGAATAAAACAGAGTAATCAGTGACTGATTTTGTAACTGATTGTTTATAATTGTTTCAGCTTGAATTCAGAATAATTTTGAGGTTTATACTAGAGGTCAGAAAAAACAAGAATGTTACTGCATATTTGTGATGTGTATTTTTTTCATATTTTCCTCTGTGAGTAAAAAAAATGAATGATATTGAATGATATTAATCTAATAATGTACTATATACTGGTATATATAGAATATGTCATAAGCTGTACTACAGATGCTTGCAGGGGTCATTTCTCTGCACTTAGCATATTATATTTCAATAGTTTAGTTAAGAACATTTCTGGTGAAACTCGCATGCTTTCACTTGAGACATAGACATGTATGGTACAGGTAATGTGTGAATGCCTTTTTTCACTCACAGGTGTAGAATGGGGACTCCATTTCCCAGCAGCCAATGGAGAGTACCAGTCTCCCATTAACTTGAACTCCAGGGAGGCTCAGTATGACCCGTCCCTCCTGGATGTCGGCTTATCACCAAACTATGTGGTGTGTCGAGACTGTGAGGTCATCAACGATGGACACACCGTCCGCATCATTCTCAAGTCCAAGTCAGGTAACTCCCAGGAGACATGACAATGAGTCAATACTCACTACTTTTGCTGTCAGTCATTGTGGGTTAGTGATACGCTCATTCAACCATTTTATGTAGAGCATGGAAACCATAAACAAATGTAGCCCACAGTAAATGACCTTCTTTTCTCACTCAAACTTTCACTCCGTATGCTTTGGTTTGTCTTCTACTTCCTGTCTGTGCTTGCCCTGGGTTTCCTGTGCTGTTCTCAGTGGTAACTGGGGGTCCATTGCCTAGTGATCATGAGTATGAGCTTCATGAGGTTCGATTCCACTGGGGCAAAGAGAACCAGAGAGGATCAGAGCACACTGTCAACTTCAAGGCTTTTCCTATGGAGGTAGTACAAACACACACACACACACACACACACACACACACACACACACACACACACGAGGCCATGCCCATGGAGTGGGCCTAATGCACTTTCAAAACAGACCAACTGCCCCTAATAGACTAGAGAATACAGTGTTCGCATGTTTAGACTTCTGGCATTGACATCTGTCCTTCAGATAACATCGTAGCTTGCTGAGTCCTTGAACACAAAACCTCTTCAATCTTCTCTAACAAGAATGTGTTTCACATATGAAGCTGAAGGCTGAAAGACTTTGTATCACAGGCTGAAATCAATGTGTTTTTATGAATGTGTCTGTTGTGCCCATCCATATGTCTGTAAACTTAACACTGATAGCCTGAAAAAGGAGCTAAAATGAACGAGGTAAAATTAGATTATGTTAAAATTTGGTTAAAAGTCATCAACATTTTCTTTAGTGTATAAACACCTAAAAATAAGAATCATTGTGTTGTCATTACCTTAGAATGAGTTGTTTATATCTACATAAGGAACAGGTCCTCATCTATGGAGATTGCCATGGTCACCACCATGTTTCTACAGTGGCCCAGAATGGATGGCTCTAGTTAGGGCCATTTGAATTTTTGTGTTATCCACCATAGTTACCAGCCCCTCCATGATGAGCAGTGGTGGAAAACACTGATTTTTCTTTTACGTGAAACTGCTTTATTCAGGGTTTGTGTCTTTTTAAATCATCTGGGCCATTTGTTTTAGAGAGAAAGAGACCTCTGTGGATAATTCAGCTCCCGGTAAGAACCTCCTGAATGTCTGGATCTTAAGAGAAAAAAGGTGAGCATGCCAACATGCCAAACAGCATTAGAGAAACACTGATTTGTAACATTAAACTGCTTCATTCAGTGTTTCTACCAGTTTTAAACACTGGTTCATTTTTTTTGGAGAGGAAGAGAAAACCTCCTGAACAACAAAAACTGAAGGAATTCTAACTGGCAGAACTTTCAGCTGGTTGCAATCTGCAACCCTCAACACTACATCCCCCTAAATCTTATCCACTTGACCTTTAATAAATTCCTCATCATTTTAGAAAATAAGCTTGTTCTGTTTCTTTTCAAGATTTAAAACAAAAATCAGTATCACTCTTATGTCTGTGCAGTTAGAATGGAGCTATAGGTTGGAGGCAATTAGCCTGGCTTAGCATAAAAGCTGGGACAAGGGGGAAAAAGCTAGCCTGCTCTCCCTAGAATGAAAACTGCACATACCAACACCTCTAAATGCCCTGACACACCAAGCCAATGATCGGCCGTCAGTCAAAGTTGGGCCATTGGTGAGCATCTGCTGCCCTCGTTGGTGTGGTGTGTCCTCCACCGTTGGCCTTTGCTGATGCTAGCTGGCCTTCAGCAGAGCCTCCTGGTGACTGAAATCACTCTGACTGGCAGTTCAGCTTAGCGCACAAGAAGAGAAACAGAGGTGAGAAAAGTGAACAAAGAGCTAAAGTCAAGCAGGAGCTAGGTCCACACTTATAAGGTATAATAAGGTTATATAAGGTAAGATTATTTTTCTTTAGCCATTGAGCTCTTTAGCAGAAATGTTTCCTGATGGTTTGTGTTACTGTTCACCAGAGATGGGCAAAAATACATCAAAATGTATTTTGATACAAAATACAAAATACCACTCAAATAAATGTATCAAAATAAAATACAAAATACTGGTGCCAGAAAATGAATCAAAATAAAATACATGTATTTTGTATTTTCAAATACAGAAAATACTTTTTTCTTTTTCTTTTTAGCAGTGATCCGCAGCTCTATAGGTCACTCTGTCGGTCGGCTGGTTGGTCGGTTGGTCCACAAAGCTTTTCGTGAATAACTCAAAAAGTCCTTGACCAAAAATGCTCAAAATTTACATGCTGCAATTAGAGACCACAGGTAACTATGCCAGAAAGAACAATCATGATTTATCCATCAATGGCGTGATAGTAGCATATTTGGTCGCAGCTGTTGCAAATGTGTGCTTGTTTTCTCACAATTTGGTATAGCAAAGTATTCAGGTTTGGGCTAAAGGATATACACAGTTAGCAGTTACACAGTTAATAAGACAGTTAGCATAAGCGTTGCTAGCTTGATATTATAACTATCAACACCATGTATTTATACAATAGGCTATGTAGCCAGACCCAGACATAAATCATACATCAAGCCAGATGACATCTCTCACACTCAGATAAAATACCTTGACAGACAATCAGTTGAACTTGGAAGACATGAGCAGCAAGGCAGTCTACTGGTAGTGTGGGTCCATCCACATCTAGTCTAGCTGTGCTGTGAACTGTCCACCAATGGTCTAGCTAAACAGCAGCAAGATACTGTAGCGACTGTAGCTAGTTATCTTGTTTGCTGTCTAACTTGGAGCCTTTGGAGCCCTGTGTTCAACTTCTAAAGAGAAAAAAAAGCTAGGGACATGTAGGCTACCCTAAAATAGATTAGATTCAGACAACTTTATTGATCCCACGTGAGGCAGTTCATGCATACTTATCCCAAGCATCAACCACAACAACGTACAATTTCCTATGTTATGCACAGTCCAGTAAAACAGACCACTAGGTCATTGAAGGGCACATTGAATGGCCCGAGTTTTAAAAAAAAAACCCATATATATATATATATATGAAGCCTCTTGGATAAGAGGTGAAACGTCTTTAAGACAAAACCAAAGTCCAAAACCAAGTCCAGTTGCATTCGATTCAATTGCCTTGAGATATAAAAAAAAAGTAAAAAATATTGTCACATCCAATATTATAAGAATGTGTAGCCTATTATTTTTGTTTTTGATTCGTGGAGAAAGTATTTTGAGTATTTTGAATACAAAATTACTCCACTCAAAAGTATTTTGTTACAAATTACATTTGCTTTTTATCAGCCTTATCAAATACAAATTACAAAATATTCAAATGTAATTGAAATACATACAGTACAGGCCAAAAGTTTGGACACACCTTCTCATTCAATGCGTTTTCTTTATTTTCATGACTATTTACATTGTAGATTCTCACTGAAGGCATCAGAACTATGAATGAACACATGTGGAGTTATGTACTTAACAAAAAAAGGTGAAATAACTGAAAACATGTTTTATATTCTAGTTTCTTCAAAATAGCCACCCTTTGCTCTGATTACTGCTTTGCACACTCTTGGCATTCTCTCCATGAGCTTCAAGAGGTAGTCACCTGAAATGGTTTTCCAACAGTCTTGAAGGAGTTCCCAGAGGTGTTTAGCACTTGTTGGCCCCTTTGCCTTCACTCTGCGGTCCAGCTCACCCCAAACCATCTCGATTGGGTTCAGGTCCGGTGACTGTGGAGGCCAGGTCATCTGCCGCAGCACTCCATCACTCTCCTTCTTGGTCAAATAGCCCTTACACAGCCTGGAGGTGTGTTTGGGGTCATTGTCCTGTTGAAAAATAAATGATCGTCCAACTAAACGCAAACCGGATGGGATGGCATGTCACTGCAGGATGCTGTGGTAGCCATGCTGGTTCAGTGTGCCTTCAATTTTGAATAAATCCCCAACAGTGTCACCAGCAAAACACCCCCACACCATCACACCTCCTCCTCCATGCTTCACAGTGGGAACCAGGCATGTGGAATCCATCCGTTCACCTTTTCTGCGTCTCACAAAGACACGGCAGTTGGAACCAAAGATCTCAAATTTGGACTCATCAGACCAAAGCACAAATTTCCACTGGTCTAATGTCCATTCCTTGTGTTTCTTGGCCCAAACAAATCTCTTCTGCTTGTTGCCTCTCCTTAGCAGTGGTTTCCTAGCAGCTATTTGACCATGAAGGCCTGATTGGCGCAGTCTCCTCTTAACAGTTGTTCTAGAGATGGGTCTGCTGCTAGAACTCTGTGTGGCATTCATCTGGTCTCTGATCTGAGCTGCTGTTAACTTGCGATTTCTGAGGCTGGTGACTCGGATGAACTTATCCTCAGAAGCAGAGGTGACTCTTGGTCTTCCTTTCCTGGGTCGGTCCTCATGTGTGCCAGTTTGGTTGTAGCGCTTGATGGTTTTTGCGACTCCACTTGGGGACACATTTAAAGTTTTTGCAATTTTCCGGACTGACTGACCTTCATTTCTTAAAGTAATGATGGCCACTCGTTTTTCTTTAGTTAGCTGATTGGTTCTTGCCATAATATGAATTTTAACAGTTGTCCAATAGGGCTGTCGGCTGTGTATTAACCTGACTTCTGCACAACACAACTGATGGTCCCAACCCCATTGATAAAGCAAGAAATTCCACTAATTAACCCTGATAAGGCACACCTGTGAAGCGGAAACCATTTCAGGTGACTACCTCTTGAAGCTCATGGAGAGAATGCCAAGAGTGTGCAAAGCAGTAATCAGAGCAAAGGGTGGCTATTTTGAAGAAACTAGAATATAAAACATGTTTTCAGTTATTTCACCTTTTTTTGTTAAGTACATAACTCCACATGTGTTCATTCATAGTTTTGATGCCTTCAGTGAGAATCTACAATGTAAATAGTCATGAAAATAAAGAAAACGCATTGAATGAGAAGGTGTGTCCAAACTTTTGGCCTGTACTGTATTCCAAATACAAGTAACAGAAATACTGCCCATCCCTGCTGTTCACTGGCACACGGGAAATATGCTCTTGCTCTGTTCCTTTAGCATTGTGTTGTTAATATGCTAATTGGTTTATCTAGTTTTGTATAATACACAAATAGAAATGTTTGTTACATTATGTGGTTTTCACAGTTCCAGCAGCATATAGCCAGTCACAGATTTTAGTATAGGCACATTAGTACCAAATTTGTCAACAACAAAGCTGGTTGTTGTTAGAGGTGTTGGTAGGTATATTTTTTTAAGAAAGATAACCTAACTATTTCCCTCTAATATTTATGCTAAGATAGGCTAATCATGTTAGAATGGTATTGATTTTCTCATCTAATGCTTTCTCAAAGGGGAAGTGTATTTCCTGAAATGTTGATCTTTTACCTTGAAGATCGACATTTTTCACTAGGGTAACATTTCTCAGACTGCACATCCTGGCACTAACCTCTGATATTTAGTTGAAATTTAAGGTTGAAACTGAAACCTTTAAAATGCCAAAAGTACACCCACTCAGACAACTTGGTGATGCATTTCTTTCTTGCTTCATTTAATTGCTTTATTCATGGGGTCAGTGTGTAAAGTATCTAAATAAATAGTGTGTTTTATTAAAGGGTATAACTTAACATGCCAACCATACAGCTCTTAAGAATAAAGCTAAAATTAATAAACTAATTGCATAATGTCACAGAGAAACACTGACATGTTTTTACTATCAGTGAAACAAAAAAGAAAAAACACAGTATTTACCAGGAGACATGTTTGTTGTTTCCTGCTTGTGGTCCCATTTAACTCACTCTATGTCTGGTCACCTAATGACAATGGTTTTAGAGCAACTGATACAAGAGAATCTTGGGAAAGGAAATTCAAATTTCTATCATCCTATAATTGAAACCTGCTGCCTCAGTGACAGCTTTTCAGCCAAAACTAAATAGTCTTGCGTTAACAAATCTGTAGATGTAGGAAAAGTGAGCTTGGCAGATGCTGAAGATGCCAGAACAGCCCAGTAAGCTTGATTTGGTGTTTTGCTGGTAAAGACATTTAGATGTCTGAGGCTGCCCTCATCAGAAAAACAGCAGCATTGCTCACGACCTATGTTTTCATTTGCCCTACAAGTTACCAGTTGTGGCCATGCAGTCCAGAATATTTAGTTTAGCAGTCATATTCTGCTCCTCATGATCTACATCCAATGCCAACACTCAGTGCCAATGCAGTTAGTGTTCACCTTTTTATTAGTCCCAAGATTGACCAAGTATTTTAGTTCAGTCAGACAACTCACATTTTAAATATTAATTTGAATAGCAGAACATAATTAGAATTCGACGTCAACCATGAACCCTGACCTCATCCCTGGTGTGAAGGCTGTATTAATATGCCGCTAAAAATAGTCCACAACAAATGTCCTATTTTCCCATTTGAGTAACATTTGCTAACAACTAGTGTCCAAATGTTTTTACAAAATTATGAAGTCTTTGTAAAAAATTAAACTAAATTTGTGAAACATTTTTAAATCATATCTTCAGTATGAACAAATGTTGGAGTTTTGTTGGGAGTTGTGTGCCACAGACAGGCAGGGAACAAAGTAATGAATGACAGACTAAGTTGTTGTTGGCTTTAATCTTTTCAGGGAATTTGTTGATGAAAATATAAAACATTGCCAGCTTTGTCCTTGAAAGGTGGGCTAAATTTGTTTAAAAAGTGAATGTTTTTTATGGGTCAAGGTGAAATATTTCAAAAGTATTTCAACTACTATATTTAGATGTCTAGACAGACTTTGACCTCTTTTGCAAATCCCTAAATCAATGCTCAATGGGAAATCTGAGCTAAAGAGGCCAACAGCCCAGTGATAGCTGAGATTTTATATATGTATTTATATATTTGTATATAATATATATTTATAATCTCTGGTCTGGCCTGATATTGATGTGTTTCAGGTAGAAGTTTTGCACTCTTTCCTCTACAGTACGTTAACACTAACCTGACATAAGAGCCCTCAGTCATTCCCAGCTGATGAGTTCTCACTCTCTCACTTAGGTCTGCTCCCTCCACCTGTTTACAACAATGGCCTCTCAAATGCAGGCGGTGATCTGTTGTCTTTCTGTCTGTCTGTAGCTCCACCTGATTCACTGGAACAGCACTCTGTTTAACACTTTGGAGGACGCTCTTGGGAAGAGGAATGGAGTCCTCATCATAGCTCTCTTTGTGCAGGTAAACATCCACATCAAGAATCACTAGTCTGGCAAAGTTGTCAGATGGGGTTTTTACACTGGAATTTAACAGAGATTAAATTTAGTGCAATATTCACATTTGACAAAACATAAATATGAACTGGCTTTTTTACGACAAAGAGCATTCGCTCTATTTAAGTTGCTGGAAGCATTATGTCTTCAGGTTGTCCGTCTGTCCATACTTGTGAAAGCAATATCTCAGGAACACCTCAAGGGAATTTCCTCAAATTTGGCACAAACATCCACTTGGGCTGTAGGATGACCTGACTAGGATTTTGTGTTCAAAGGTCAAAGCTCAAGGTCACTGTGACCTTACAAAATATATTTTTGGCCATAACTCATTAATATGCTAATTCTGACAAAGTGTCACACAAATGTCTAATAGAACAAAATGATGAGGTAATGATATTTTATATTCAAAAGATCAACTTAACTGTGTCATCATAATGTTTGTCTGCAAAAACAATAGTAATTCTTGTATAAGCATATTCTTTTCCAGTTTCCTTTTCAAACTGTAACGGGTAGTAGTAGTTACCAACACACAGTAAATGTATGTAATAATGTATATCTGTTCCAAAGAAAAGGCAATTTAATGTTTAGATATGAATTTGTGTGAGACTGTAAAAGTGCAGGCAAGTCTAAAGGGTGATCAGGTGGGCACCCTCTTACTGACTGGTGTTTCAGTGAGTTGGGCCAACGACACCGAGAAGCCTCAACAGTGTGTACAAGCATCCCAGAACCACCCCCCTCTAAAGCCAGCTATATCCACTTCTATCTATTTACCAGTTACAAAATGCTGGCTAATAACAACCAGCTAACAACATAAACTACCCAGCATGTTGTTCTCACTGGCAGCACACTGCTCAACTCACCAAACAACAAATCACACAATCATCCTTGGTGCTTCTAAGGACTGTGTGCTTCTGTTTGTACCCAGTTCTGAGAAAAATGGCCCTTTGAATCAATGCATCAATGTTTGTTTTTGGGATACCAGGCTGTCGAACAAATGGCCTTTCAGTCCAACAGGACATTTTCAGACTATTGAGGCTTTGGAATTATAAGCTGTTGGAACAATGGCATGACACATAGCATGCTGCCATCACTTGCTTTTTAGGTAATTTAACTGGCTATTTGACAGAGATCTTTGACCTTATTTACTCAGTAGCCTGTGTCTAGTTTGCATTGAATAACATAAGCACAATATATATTGGATCCTACACTTTTCGTACTGTAATTTTGGTACAGGTAAGTTTAAAAAACTTATTTCTAACTATGTATGAAACACTATGCTTATATACTACATATGTTTGTGTGTCATAATCTGAAAAAAGGTTTAACAAATGACCATGAAAATAAAGCAAGAGTTGAAACAGCCATGTTTCAAGAAGGAGAGACTCTGGATTAGTGATGTCTTTTCAAAGGAGGAAGACCAAATCAACACTTAATTCTCCTTTGCACAGCCTAATATAGGCCTACATTTCACATCAGAATGCATTTGAGACATATGAGATGTATGACAAATTTTGTCCTATATTTATTCAGTGTTGGTGTAATACACTCAGTTGTAATTTTACACCTAAAGCAGTTCAATACAGAAGCCAATCAATCAATATGATTATTCACTATTCCAAGTGTCCACCCCATTTTTATTAATGAGGGTAGAATGAATACAAACACCTTCCAGTGTAACATGGCACAGTTCAACAACAGCAGCACAAGCTTTAAGTTGAATCAACAGCTCTTTAAAACTGCTGAAAACTGAACATTACAACCTTCATGAAAGAAGAACCGAGGGCTGTTGTATGAGACTACATTAGTTTAAGCTAGCTGCACCTAATAAACTGCAACTGAGTGTAATATTTTGGAGCTACCCATGTGTGCTTGACAACATCCACCCATTATCTGTAACCGCTTATCCTATTCAGGGTTACAAGGGAAGATTTTGAAATGTTTGAAAGAATCAGGTTTAAAAAAAATATTGACTTTTTCAGCACATCTGTGGCCTTAAAGTAATTTTCCTTCCTGGGATTGTGAGTGTTGTTTTCCTAAATGAGTGAACAGGTTCTTTCCAGATTAGCTTGAACCATCCTGTTAAATAATATAAGCATGACACAAGTTGGAAAACACCCTCTGCTACATTCCTATGAAGTCCCCTGATTCCTCTAATTCATGACTTCCCTGCTAGGGAAACTCTTGTGGGAAAAATGTGGGAATTTTTACACCAGCTTAATAAAACCAATCAAACTTTAGTTTCAGAGAAATGTGACTCACACCAGCCCAGTGAGAAGTCACCATCAAGCAGTCTCCTTCAGGTTACACCCCAGACAGCCCTGACCTCCTGAGGCCACAGTCATAACACACTTAATCTCACACGTCCTGTTTTTGACAGCTCCTTCAGTTTCTACTTCCTGATTACCTCTTGTACGGATACATGTATAACTAAAATCGTCTTAGAACTTTGTTGACGTCTTTAATTCAGTCACTAATAACATTGTCTTTAGAGGATACATTGATACGTCCCATGGCCACCAAATCACTTAAAACTGACGTATTGTGTTTTTCTCAGATTGGTAAGGAGCATCTGGGTCTGAAGGCCATCACTGAAGTCCTACAGGACCTGCAGTACAAGGTGAGAAAAGGAGTGAAAAGATCAGCCAGATTGCATGACAATTAATTTCATAAGATAAAGATGAATGTCAGATTTTAGATAAAACATCCCACTGTTAAACTACATGATACATTATTACAATATGTGTTGTTTTGTCTCTGTATTACCATTAGGGGAAGAGCAAGATAATTCCCTGCTTCAACCCCAACACTCTATTACCAGGTGAGCAGAAAACAAGATAGGCAGGTTGGATAGTTTGTTGGAAAAAATTTGATGTGATCATTCACAAGTGGGCATGTCACCACAGTAAGGCCCTGATGATGTACACCAAGCGGCAACCTCTGGGGCTGAAAAATGAAGCCAACACCAAAGTGCCAAAAACTGCAGTCCTTTGAACGGCCACTTGAGGCTGGCTCCAGAGGCCAGTCAGTCCCCATAGACCTCCATGTTAAAATGCCCAACTGTACAGCAGAAATAAACATGTTTACAGCCTGGTACAAAAAATGGTTTTGGTCTCTATAGCTAATTTCTCCATTCATGAAAACTGTACAGGGGGTGAATTTTTATTTAACCTACCTGTTTACATTTTATTAAGGCTTAAAGTTGCACATAATTAAGGTTGGGTCTCTTTGAATGACAGGCTGTCTGCCAATAGTGTCCTCGGCTTCTCAGCCACCTTGTCTCCAAAAAAACAAGATTGTGACGGCTTCAAAACAGGAGTCCACAAACGAGTGGGTGACAACACGGTAGTCTGTGGTGTACATTGACAAGATGCAGAATTCATCAGTGAAAGAGAGACGAAGCCATACGTTCCGTTTAATGTTAGTTGCCGAAGCAGTCTACTGTAAAATGCCTTGAGAATTATCTGGAGCTTTGACAGGTAGCCTACCGCTTTGCTCAAAGTGGATAAATTCCAGCCAGCAGCCTATAGCCACGATATTTTGGGGAAGCAGTGACACACCAATGTAGCTGTTGCAAGCTAGCTAAGTTGATCTCAGGTCTGCGCAGTCAAAAGTTCTACAGTTATTGACTTGAGGATGTCATGATATGATTGGTTAAAACTATATGCGGTAAAAAAAAAAAAAGAAAAAAAAAGAATTTCTTTTCTTAAATAGGTGCACAAAATGTCTGGAGATGTGTTCTAAGGGGGTAAAAAGGCATTTCTCATTTCATCTCATCTCGACAGTGTTAACGGAAAAGGTAGACAGTGAGGAATAGGATTGAGGTTTTATAGCATTTTATCAAATCTGAATCCTGAACTGAACTTATCAAACCCCAAGTCTAATCTTGTATGTTGTTTGGTAAAAATATGTACTGTTTTGAGTTTACTCAGTAGCATAGCTAAACTGAGATATGTTGTCACTGCAAGCTATTACAGCTAAAGTATCAACTAAGTTATTATTTTTTTTCTGCACATGACATTACCTAAAGGAAAAATCATTGTTGCACCGCTACAGGTCACAGAGTCAGACGTGTCACAGACCATGGTGTACCACAGGCGGTAAGCTGAGGCAGAGCATTCGTCGTACTCGGGTTATCAAAAATGCCACAGCTTCCACTGTATTCAAGTAGTAACACATAATAACATGATGGACGGTAGATAAATATTTAAGCAGGGACCTGTCATTCACCCCTTTGTCACGAGAACCCTCCTGCAAATATTGCATTTGGCAGTTGATTGGTTGACTTTGGTGAAGTGTTTCTACACTTTGATACATTTAAGGCGGTCTGCCATGTTGAGTCAGTCAGTCCTGTTAACGACTGTTTACTGTGAACTGTGTATTACTGAGTGGAGCACCTGCTCCACCCACATTTTAATTTCCCATTTCATCAGAGCTAATTTACATTACAGTATTTTTTACATTAAATGTTGAATCTGCCCTCAGACCCTTTACTGAGAGACTACTGGGTGTATGAAGGATCTCTGACCACACCACCTTGCAGTGAAAAGGTGACCTGGATCCTCTACCGCTACCCTCTCACCATCTCACAGTTACAGGTAAAACAAAGTCTGCAGCCTTTTAAAGGGAAACTCCACCTGTTTTATACATCAAAGTATGTTTACAGGTGTTGGGGAGCACTACTGCATATGTTGAAAAAAGTTATATAAAGCCTTTTGTGGCTCTTGGGGGAGCGGTGTGATGTCTGATAGACAAGACTACAAGTTTAAAATGAAAATAATCTCGGTGTGTAGAGTTAGAAAGAAGTGAGTTTACCAGCTTTCTGTAGTCTGCTCCTCATCTCTGCTTTAGGCTAGATGTACAGTACAGGCCAAAAGTTTGGACACACCTTCTCATTCAATGCGTTTTCTTTATTTTCATGACTATTTACATTGTAGATTCTCACTGAAGGCATCAAAACTATGAATGAACACATGTGGAGTTATGTACTTAACAAAAAAAGGTGAAATAACTGAAAACATGTTTTATATTCTAGTTTCTTCAAAATAGCCACCCTTTGCTCTGATTACTGCTTTGCACACTCTTGGCATTCTCTCCATGAGCTTCAAGAGGTAGTCACCTGAAATGGTTTTCCAACAGTCTTGAAGGAGTTCCCAGAGGTGTTAAGCACTTGTTGGCCCCTTTGCCTTAACTCTGCGGTCCAGCTCACCCCAAACCATCTCGATTGGGTTCAGGTCCAGTGACTGTGGAGGCCAGGTCATCTGCTGCAGCACTCCATCACTCTCCTTCTTGGTCAAATAGCCCTTACACAGCCTGGAGGTGTGTTTGGGGTCATTGTCCTGTTGAAAAATAAATGATCGTCCAACTAAACGCAAACCGGATGGGATGGCATGTCGCTGCAGGATGCTGTGGTAGCCATGCTGGTTCAGTGTGCCTTCAATTTTGAATAAATCCCCAACAGTGTCACCAGCAAAACACCCCCACACCATCACACCTCCTCCTCCATGCTTCACAGTGGGAACCAGGCATATGGAATCCATCCGTTCACCTTTTCTGCGTCTCACAAAGACACGGCGGTTGGAACCAAAGATCTCAAATTTGGACTCATCAGACCAAAGCACAGATTTCCACTGGTCTAATGTCCATTCCTTGTGTTTCTTGGCCCAAACAAATCTCTTCTGCTTGTTGCCTCTCCTTCGCAGTGGTTTCCTAGCAGCTATTTGACCATGAAGGCCTGATTGGCGCAGTCTCCTCTTAACAGTTGTTCTAGAGATGGGTCTGCTGCTAGAACTCTGTGTGGCATTCATCTGGTCTCTGATCTGAGCTGCTGTTAACTTGCGATTTCTGAGGCTGGTGACTCGGATGAACTTATCCTCAGAAGCAGAGGTGACTCTTGGTCTTCCTTTCCTGGGTCGGTCCTCATGTGTGCCAGTTTAGTTGTAGCGCTTGATGGTTTTTGCGACTCCACTTGGGGACACATTTAAAGTTTTTGCAATTTTCCGGACTGACTGACCTTCATTTCTTAAAGTAATGATGGCCACTCGTTTTTCTTTAGTTAGCTGATTGGTTCTTGCCATAATATGAATTTTAACAGTTGTCCAATAGGGCTGTCGGCTGTGTATTAACCTGACTTCTGCACAACACAACTGATGGTCCCAACCCCATTGATAAAGCAAGAAATTCCACTAATTAACCCTGATAAGGCACACCTGTGAAGTGGAAACCATTTCAGGTGACTACCTCTTGAAGCTCATGGAGAGAATGCCAAGAGTGTGCAAAGCAGTAATCAGAGCAAAGGGTGGCTATTTTGAAGAAACTAGAATATAAAACATGTTTTCAGTTATTTCACCTTTTTTTGTTAAGTACATAACTCCACATGTGTTCATTCATAGTTTTGATGCCTTCAGTGAGAATCTACAATGTAAATAGTCATGAAAATAAAGAAAACGCATTGAATGAGAAGGTGTGTCCAAACTTTTGGCCTGTACTGTACATACATGTCAATAAACTCTCTCTCTCTGATGGGCTCTGCCAGAGCTAGGTGAAATGAATAATTCATAATTGATTTGTTATTCAAAGCCTAATTTTCATACAAGTAATATTCATTCTGGTGTAAATAAACAATTTCATTGTATTTCCCATCTTTGCTGAGCAACAGTTTTGTGTGAAAGGAATTAAAAGCCTGCTCCATATAGGCGCCTGTCCCAAATATAGACCTGTTGAGTTTAGTCATTTAAGCAATTAAAAGCCCAGTCTATTAGAAAAGTTTCATGGTATATTCATCAAGTGGACAGAAACCTGCCAAATAAATGCTAATGTTGATTTGGATGTGTGAATTGTGTTTGTAAAAATGTAAAAATCGGATTTACATACAGACAGAAACTGCATGAGTATTAGAAAGAATAATAAAAAGTGGTGAGTAGTAAAGGTGATTTGATGAAGGATCATAAACACTAATAGCTAATCATACAGTAGCAACAGAAAGGTCACAGGTAGTAATCTGACAAATTAAACTTTAAAATACAATACTGTCAACACCTTTATTGTCCTGGTTTAATCTCTGTTCTCTTTTTCTACATCCAAACTTTACATATAGGCAATGTCGGGCTCTTTTGTGATTTTTATATAACACAGGCCCACTGACCTGAGACTCTCTGACATTCAACACAGAACAGGAAGCCTGTCACATTGCCTTTAATATTTTTAAACTTTATTTGAGCCTTTGCCTGACTCATGGCTCTCTTCAAGCAGGTTGTTGTTAAGGATGATGATGATGATGATGATGAGGGTTCATCCTCTGACATTTATCTTAGTCGCTCAGCCCTGCTGCCCTCTGCCATGCTGACCCTTTGAAATGCTAACAGAAGGAAAGACTTGTGGCTGTCTTTCTCCCTCAGGCCTCAACCATTTTAATGTGGGTGACTTTATAACATTCCTGCTACAATAATTTGTACAGGGATAATGCACATGAATCTGCATCATTTGTAAATGTTGCCAATGTTTGCCAAGTGGAAAATTTTTGACAGTTGTCTAATAACCAGATGTTAGATAAGTTATTAAAACTGATGAAACGTTCTCTGTAGACTAAAAAAGTAGTTCCTACCTTGTGACCTCAAAATTTGGAGCAATATACTTTGGGTCATTGTCACAGGTTACAGGTTGTGTACGACTTGTGAGCAGTTCAGTTGAATAGGGATTTTTCCTTCTTTCTGATCAAAAAATTAATAATTCAAACCACCTTGTAAGCTCCTAAGAGGCAAAACTAAAGAAAAAGCACAGAAAGAAAGCACAAATAGAGAAAAGTCTTTAAAATACATATTTCTTATATTCCACCCCAGGTTTTAAAGTCTGACACCCAGTACAGTATACTATAGAATAGACTAAATATATATATATATATATATATATATATATATATTATAAAAGAAACAACAAAAGAATAAATAGTACATTACAGAGATATGAAACAGTGAAACAGTAAGACCATGGCTAAGTGTCAGAGAAAAACTGAAACAATATAACTGCTACATAAAACATATGCAATGTGTGGCAGGTGGATGGATTATATTTATAAGATATAAATAGGTTATGTGGTTATTATCCGGACATCCGAGATAATAATTGGGAAGTGTAAGTCAGACTGAACCTAAAAATATGTGTATCATGTCTGAATGTTCAGAATTGAGTGAATTATTTATTAATTAGTAAACTGCCTCCCTGAGCTGTGTGTCAGCTACTGCAGCTGCTGCAACTGCTGGCCGCATCAATAAGCAACCCAAATCAGCAGTTCAATCTATAAGATATATTATTTACTGAATATCTTACTATCTTAATTATTTGTGAGTCCTGCAGTACTCTATTCTCTGTATCATGTCTAAGCCATGGTCCAACTGCTGGATGAACAGCAACAGGACTGTTTTAAAACAGCAGCTCCTGCTTACCTACACTAAACACCTCCAACATCGGGCTAGTATTGACTGCTGAGCGAGACTGTGTGTGCACAGTGCATATGTGCATGCAGGCATTCAAGTGTTTCTATGCCTACAAGTTCTGCATGTTGACGGGGGCCATAAATCCTCCTTCTGAAAGCCCTCAGCACAGCAGCACAGGAACTGTTGCCATGTTTGTTTTGGCCAGCCACTGTACCGCACATGTGTGAAAAGGTGATAGGATCTGCGGTGGTTTACACATGAACAGGAAGTCAGATTGTAGATGCTTTCTGTCAAAGAAAACAACAAGAGATGTTGTTTCTTGTAGACAATCAGGTCTGTCAAAACCTTATATCAAGTGCTGGGTTAATACAGGCTGCTTGTTCACCCATCTGGGTTTGCTGGTTAAGAACTGAAATAGGCAGAAATAATAGCAAAGAATACTCATACAACACTGTTAAATTGGCTGAGTTTCCACAGCTATGAAAAGTGTCAGCTGTCTTCAGATTATCATATTACATTCTCACACTATCATTATATCATTATAGGGTCTTTTTCTGCCATTAGGGACTCCACATGGGTCCCAGTCTTTGAATATTTTTTCCCCAGACAGGTTCCTTTTACTCAGCACTGAGAGCTTTATCACCTGAGTGTCTAACAGCCTGAGGAAACCCTGAGTGTAGAGCAAATATTTGAAATCATATGGAGTAATTGGATAATCCTGAAAGCCAAGAGGCAAAAACTGTGTTTAAGGAACCATGTTGTCTTGTTGTGCAGTGATCAGACTGTATGAAAGCACTGTACAAGTTTGAGACAATTTCTCACTCTGCCAAGGATAAAATTCACAGGTGCACTGGTTGTTGGAAGTATTTGGGGATCCTTTTGTCATGCAAACTAAAGATGAAGTGAAAACTGGTCATCAGCCACTTCAGTCCAATGACATCAGTACTGATCTTTGACCCTATTTGTCAAAGCTGTTATGTATGGAGCCTTGAGATGTGAAGATGTAACCTAGTTCAGCCTCTAAAGGGAAATCTGTCCTCCTTTGCAGATTGAGGAGTTTCGGAGGCTGCGGTCCCATATCAAAGGGGCAGAGCTACTAGAAGGGAATGATGGGATGTTGGGGGACAACTTCCGTCCGACCCAGCCGCTTAGTGATCGGACGGTCCGCGCTGCATTCCAGTGACTCCCAGTTTCCACCGCCAACTCAGAAAAACATTGGGACCTACACCTACAAGTACAGAAGGTAACAGTGGTAAAGGAATATCTCACCCCACAGCAGTTATTCAGCCCATTTTATGTTGAATTTGTGGAGAAAACTGTGTTTTTGGATGCCTCCACGGTGAACGAAGAATCCAAAAACTGAATTTTTTTTTTAATGAACTGAAGTCATAGGGGTTCATGTTTAACAATAGCAAAGCTACATCAAAACATCCATTTACAAACTCTCACACAACTCGTGCAGTATAATCCAAGTCTCATTTATCCAGTTGCATGCTCAGTGCTTTCAAAACAGGCAGCCTTATCTGACAGGGAACTGAACTGAAAGTGTTTATGCTCTCTTCAAAGCCAGACTCCATTGATTTCTTTCCTTTTTTTGGCAAACACTAGCCTATAGATACATCCAGCAGACAAAGAGCAACACTAGCATTCATTTGGAGGTATTTATGTTACACCTGATGAATGTAAGTTTTGGTCCCTCCCAACTCTTGAGAAACTGTCCAGCTCTCTAGCTCTAGCTAGTTGCGAAATATGTCTGTCTTCCATTTGGTGCCGGGCAGGTAGAGGTTTTATCAGAGCTTTTTCACCTTTTCCGTCAAAACAACTAAATATGCTCTTATGAATTACAGACAATGCTGATGAGAGGTAAAAGTGAACTGAGAACTGCAGTTGTAAAACCAAACAATGAGGTGAAAATGCCAAAATGCTCTGTTAAGGCGCAGACACACCAAACCGACATCAAAGAATTAGTTGTGACAAAGGCCATGTGTTGCGTTGCCTCACATCACCTGTGCCTCAGCCAAAAAGCTGCAGAGCCAATGGCCAACTGGCACGTGTTCTGCACCTGTGTGAGAGGAAATAACTCTCCATACCAGCAGGTGGTGGTAGTCTGCATTCATCATTCAGAAAGGGAAACCACAGGATGGATTCAAGACGCTAGTTAGCCAGTTAGCAAATTGACAACATAACGTGATGTTTAAAGAACAAAAGATAATTAGCGTGTGCTAGTGATCAATAACACAAACAATTATGACAGTTTCTTAACTTATCTTTCCTCTCTTTAGCCTTTTGTTTGCTTCCTTCACTTCGATTTCTCTCCTCGTGAACTGCCAGTCAGATTGATTTCCTTCACAGGCGGGCTCCGCTATCTCTGACACCATGGACGCAGATTCAGCATGCTGAATTGGGCGCAAAAAAGCCAGCAAGGGCTGACATGTGCCAATAGTGCGGGACAAGCCGCCAAAACTAGGGTGGCAGATGCTCACCAGTGGCCCAACATTAGTGGACGGGTGACTGTTGGCTTGGTGTGTCAGGGCCCTAAAGCTGAGGAAAACTGCAGAGTTGGCTGAAAATTCTCTGTTGGTTTGTTGTTATGACTGACATCTTTCACTTTACATGTAGCCATTTGGTCCATTATTGATGTACACACCAGTCAGGGCAGCTTTGATTTAGCATCTACATGACAAAAAAACCTTAAGACAATAAGTCAAATCTACATGTAAACTGACCATCATTTGCTGAACTTATCACCAAACACTGTTCTCTGTATTTTTAGTCAGTTCAGCACATTTTCTCACAGGAGACAGCCTTTTAATGGAAGTAGGCATGCTGTCCCTGAGGTATTTGGGTCCTCTGAAACCACACTGTAGTGGGTCAAGCCCTGGAAGAACTAACCCAGTTCAGTTACTAATCTGAGAATAGCCTATATACAGTATGTAGTGTATAAAGGGATCCCAGATTTAGCTCAGCAGCACTGCGGCAGGAAGACAGGGCAGAACATTTGGAGCTCAGAGGGGGTGAGGAGGGTAAGAAAAAGACTCTCTCCGTTTCTTCATTTTGTGGTTATTTCTAAATGTTAGCATTACAAAAATAGATGACTAAGGGCCTACAAAGAAATGTCGGTGTAGCTGTGTTCCTATATCTTATTCTTCGCACAGTCTGTCACTTTCACATCACTATCAGTGAGCCAGTTAGTCACAACATAATGTCAGGGACAGGAAGAACAGCATCTGCCATGCAATTAGTTGTTTAATTTGACCCTGGTGTAGCAACTGACTTCAGTAAATCATTTTCCATCTTCTGTTTCAGGTCCCTTTTCTTTAAAGAGGTACTCAAATTAATACTGTACTTCCAAAAATGTTTGGAAGCTTAAAAGAGGCAGGTTAAAGAACAGTGGCCAAAATTAAATCAGCAGAAGCAGAGATATCCTGACTCTGAATCCTTAGCAAGGCTCCTTTCCTGACTGGTGTAAGATCATGTGTTTCAAACTCTATGTCCCAGTTTGTAATATATTTTTTTCTCAAAAGTTTGAAAAAGAGAGGAGGGTGAAAGAGAGGGGTACTGTGGTGAAGGGAGGTGAGAATGCCAGAGGGATGAAAGAGGAGTAGACGGAGAAGGGCACGGGAAAAGGAGAGAATGAACAGAGGACTATTGTTTATGGTGTAAACGGACACTGATCTGGTCCCAGCAGCACGAACCCACCTGAGACAAGACCCGTGAAGTAGAGAGGAGAGGGAGCTGGGTAGAGGTCAGAAAGAAAACTAGCATAAAGAAAAGTAAGGGTGATATTTCGTGTTTAGTAAAAGTCCACGGTGCCAGGACATTCTCACCTTTGCTCTTTTTGTCCATGCTGTCTGCCAAAATATACAGAAACCAAACCAGGGCCGTGCTGCCTGCATGAATCTGCTGTCACCTGCATATATGTGAATATAAAAATACCACCGACTATCACGAGTTGAAAAGACACAAACACAAAAGAGCAAATGTTGTTATGGAAATAAAGATCTTGTCTTGCAAGCTTCTTTGTCTGTCTTATAAGGAAACAAGACTCAGAGTCTAGATCCATGCTAACAGCTCCGTGAGGATGTACTTGCGAAAAATAAAAAATACAACTGAGACCAATGGGAGTGTCATTAGTTTGGAGGGTATTTGATTAATGACCGTACTACTGGACAAACTAGAATTTTGACCTCATGACGGCGCTAGATGAAACAATTCATTCTGAGGTGAACATGAATGTCTCTACTATACGTCATGGCAATTCATGTAATAGTTGTTGAAATTTTTTAATAAAATCCTTAAATGTGAACCTCATGGTAGCTCCAGAGGAAAGTCCAGCCATCACCAAATTCAGTTGGATACATCCTCTGGAGACCAGCGATGTCTGTACATAATTTCAATAGTTTCAACATTTCAGTCTGAATTTGAAACGACTGACGGAGCTGTGCTGATATCATGGTTAAAAAACACCACCAAATCACCACGATAAATGTTGTAATTGTACATTTCCGCAAAACACGGTTATGTAAAATTTGTACATTATTATGTATGTGCTGAAACATAAAGTTTCTTTATGTGTCACCATGTTGTTGAAATAATGCAACTTATCATCACAGAACATTTGTATGATATCCTACAAAAAATGCATATGCAACAGTTTGTATGATATCCTACAACTCTACGCCCCACGAATGAGATTACATCCTTAATGTACAATTACAAAATTAAAGTTACTGAGGTTAGATTTAGGGAAAAGAAACATGGTGAGAATGTACATTCAATTGACACAGATCCAAACACACAACTCCAGGGGAAAGTCATGCCTGGAAATGCAGCAATGACTCACAGAGAAACAACCGGTTTGGTTATGTGTTGGTCTCAAATAGTGATCTGCAGCAGCCTGTAGCGTGACAGCCATCTCACCTAGTTGTCAGACCATCCACCACCCCTTCCACCTCCAGATGATAAACTCAGCTCATGTACATGTAATCAGAACTATGTTACTTTAGAAACGTTGATATGATATGTATGAAATGTACAATCTTTGGTTTGCGTAAATGTACAATGCAGACATTTTCTTCTGGTGACTGGGCTGTACAGTTTTTGTACACAAATAGCAGACATTGTCTTAGAGAGCTGGGCCCAGTCCTTTATATGTGGATAATGGATTGCACATATGGAGCTGATTCTTGAGATCTTTGAAGCTGGTCTGACCCTTTTAGATCCTGATTTTTTCCCTCATAAGATTTTTTTTGTTGTTGTTTGGCTTTGTCTTACCTCTCATGTAGAAATGAGGCTAAATCAATTTTTTCTTATGTCTTTATCATGTGTTTTTCCATCGGCTACAACGGACTGTATAAAAATGTCTTATTGTTTTAACCTTGTATGTGTTAGCTTCCCAGTAGTGTTTCTAATGTATATTAATAAATCCGAACATTCAAACTTTGGTCGCTGTACATATGTTTTACCGTTCTTTAAGAATTGCATGGTATTGAATTGTTAATCCCCTGCCAACATGGAAGCTAAGTAATGTCCTGCTATGGACACCATGTTAGCTCTGATCCAAAGTCACAAAATAACACAAACTTGGAGGAGATGTTCAAATGTCACAAAGTCACAAAAAAAGGAAAGAAAAAGAAGAAAGTTTTAATTTAAGTCTGTTTATAATTTTTAGTCTCCTCACTGAGATAACGCTGACTTAACATAAAGTTAAAAAAAAAGGCATTTTCTTGTAGCTTAGCTTGCTACATTTGTCTGAGGATAGCTTCAATGTAGTGAAACTTCATTTTGATGTAAAGTAACCAGTAGCTTAGCTCACTATATTTTCCAAGTAGCTCGCCCAACACTGCTAGGTTCATTGTGAACTCTGACTTAACCATCTCACTGTTAAGAAGCAGAGAAATAACTTAATTAAAGCCTGAATGATTTCTTAATCTGCAACATGTTAGTCTGGAGGTTTAAACTTGTGTCCTCTTACAGAATTGGTGATTAAATAAACTTTCATCTCTGTCTCTGAGAAAACTGATCAATTCAGACTGTTTACTTACAGCACAGCTACACACACAGATACCCGAGCCTCCGAGTCCTTCAGCTGTGAAGTGTGGTGGCCGGTGGCTGCTAGCTCTGCTGCCGTTTAGCTGCTAATGGCAGCAACTTACAAACTCTATAAATCCACTCAGCAGCTCCACCGTCCACAGTCGGACACACAGAGTTGCTTATTTACTGCTGAAATACAGCTCACAACTCGCACCAATGACTGTCGCTGATCTGGTGTGAGTGTTTTTGCTGCCTGTTTTTGAGCACATCTGGTTTCTCTTCTTCTTGCCTTTTGGTCTGATCCATATTTCTCTATCTTCACAGAGAGAAGGAGGAAGAGGTGTGAAGAGAGGAGCGGAAAAAGAGGGAGTGAGAGAGAAAGTTGATGTGGTTGTAGATCAGTTGCAGACCGAAGGTGGACAAAGAAACTATTGATCTCACACCTCAGTGTTCGCTTTTGTTCGTGTGTGTGTTTGTGTGTCTGTGTGTGTGTAGGTGTGTCCTTTCTGGCATAACCTCTCTGACCCCCTCTCACTCTTACTGTCTATGTGAGCCCATGCCTGCATGTGTCCTGTCTGTCTCTAGTATTATTGTATGTGTGTGATAGGAGGCTTCACAGCTGACCCGTCTCTGCTGTCAAAACAAGAGGAAGTATGAACCACAGATGTACCTGAACACACACACACACACACACACACACACACACGCACGCACACACACACACACACACACACACACACACACACACACACATTGTGCATACACCAGGCTGGTCATTATGTGTTACAGACTGAAAGTGCTGTAGTAGACCTGGATAAGTTCAACACACAATTTACAGACTATATTTCTAACGTAATACTTTGTTTGAATTGTATCTGACAATGCAGTCAACGTGAAAGGGAAAAATGTTCATATTAAAATATATTTCAATACATGAATCCACGTTGTTGGCCAATTTAGACAAACCACCATTGATGGGCTGGCACCTGACTTGTCAATCACCTAGCAATGTCATATGTGTAACATTATTTCACTTTTTAAGCCCTTTTGCCCAAGAAATTCGTCCAAGAGGTCCTGAAGAACCTGCAATATGTGGGAAATATAGTATCAGATACCACTGACATGAAGGTTACTTGGAAAACTTCTCACTGAAATTCAGTCCAGAAGTCTAGATTATAATTAAATAGTTATAATTAAATAACTGACTTACTAATAAAGGCCCACCAAGGGACAGTCAAAACAGAGTGGTGGTTTCACAGGGTGATGGTGAGCAGCCACTCCTGTGTATCTCTTGCTACCCTTTTCTGGCTGAAATGTTTCTGATTTTTATTAAATGGGGTATTTCTTCTGATTACAAAGCAAAGAGTGATGGAGTTTGATGATTTGAATCACCAGGTAGCAAGTGATTCCTGCTGAGTTTAGTCACATAACTTTTATGCTCTCACTGTCTGTGTGAATGTGATTAGTTCCACTGCAACACAGTCACCAGAATAAATGTTGGTATTGTGCATTTTGCAAACCACAAATAAGTTGCATTTGCATTTTAATATATAGTGGATACGCTAAAACTTTATGTTTCCACAATGCTGTGGTTAATGTGTGGTTATGTTTAGGCACAAAAACCACTTGGTTATGGTTTGAAAAATATCACGTTTTGGCTTAAAATACTCCATTTTAGGGGCACAATCCTCAGTGTAAAAGTAGCAATGTCTCGCTAAAAAAAAACCACTTTTCATAGCACCATCCCTGCTGTAAAAAATAGCACCTGGTTGCTACAAAACACCCACATTTGGTGACTAAAAAACTGCTGGAAGCAGCAGTGACTTGCTAAGACACAACCAGGTTTTAGGTTTGTTGGTGTCAAACAGTTGTCTGCAGACATCTCCCTGAGGTGTCACACCAGCCGCCTACCTCCCAATGACTAAGTCAGCTCATACGTGACTTTAGAAATGTTGATATGAGACATATGAATTGTAACATATTTGTGGTTTGCAGCAACTGGGCCAGTGCCACTGCAGTAGGGCCCCCAAGGACCCCTACATTGATATAGATTAGGTCACGGGGCCCCATTTGATAAGATTTCACTACAGGGACCTCCATCTGAAAAGATTTTGGTTGTTATGACCAGTAGCCTTTGATCAGAACAATCAGTCTTATGACTCTTGAAAACATTAGTCTCACTGCTATAGTGAATTAAAAAGTGAAAATAAACCATTCCCCATTTCCTGGGGACTGCCTGGAATTCCCTCAAGGACACCTGAGGGTCCCCAAAACCCTTGTTGAAAACCATTGGTATTTGGTATAGACAACACAGTTGAGTAACTTAACAGTACTCTCTCTGTACTGACCTTACATTATAAAGCTTTAAGTCAGCCAATAAGGGAATATACAGTTAGGTCCATAATTATTTGGACAATGATACAGTTGTCATCATTTTGGCTCTGTACACCACCACAATGGGTTTTAAATGAAACAATGAATACCTGCTTAAAGTGCAGACTCTCAGCTTTCATTTAAGGCTTTTTTCAAAAATGTAGTATGAACCGTGTAGGAATTACAACCATTTCTTCACACAGTCCCCCAACTTTAAGGGCTCATAAGTATTTGGACAAACTAACATAATCATCAATTAAACAGTCAGTTTTAATACTTGGTTGCAAATCCTTTACAGTCAATGACTGCCTCAAGTGTTGGACACATAGGCATCATCAGATGCTGGGTTTCTTCCCTGGTGATGCTCTGCCAGCCCTTTACTGCAGCCGTCTGCACTTCCTGCTTGTGTTTTGGGTGTTTTGCCCTCAGTTTTGGCTTCAGCAAGAGAAACGCATGCTCAGTTGGATTCAGGTCAGATGATATGACTTGGCCATTGCAGAACATTCCACTTCTTTGCCTTAAAAATGTCTTTGGTTGCTTTTGCAATATGCTTCAGGTCAATGTCCAACTGCACTGTGAAGCATCGTCCAATGAGTTTTGAAGCATTTGGTTGAATCTGAGCAGATAATGGTGCCCCAAACACTTCAGCTTTCATCCTGCTGCTCTTGTAAGCAAGACAAGACTTCATTAGAATAAATACAGAGGGTTTATCACAAGATGCAAACCATTGGTTAGCCTTAAAAATGGAAGGCCAGATTAGAGTTTGTCAAAAACCATCTAAAAAGCCTGTACAGTTGTGGAACAGCATACTATGGACAGATAAAACAAAGATCAACTACCAGAATGATGGGAAGACAAGAGAAGGAAGAAGGGAAGGAACTGCTCATGATCCAAAGCACACCACCTCATCAGTGAAGCATGGTGGAGGTACTGTTATGTCATGGCCATGTATGGCTGCCAGTGGAACTGGTTCTCTTGTATTTATTGATGATGTGACTGCTGACAAGAGCAGCAGGATGAAAGCTGAAGTGTTTGGGGCACCATTATCTGCTCAGATTCAACCAAATGCTTCAAAACTCATTGGACAATGCTTCACAGTGCAGTTGGACAATGACCTGAAGCATACTGCAAAAGCAACCAAAGACATTTTTAAGGCAAAGAAGTGGAATGTTCTGCAATGGCCAAGTCATATCATCTGACCTGAATCCAATTGAGCATGCGTTTCTCTTGCTGAAGCCAAAACTGAGGGCAAAACACCCAAAACACAAGCAGGAAGTGCAGACGGCTGCAGTAAAGGGCTGGCAGAGCATCACCAGGGAAGAAACCCAGCATCTGATGATGCCTATGTGTCCAACACTTCAGGCAGTCATTGACTGTAAAGGATTTGCAACCAAGTATTAAAACTGACTGTTTAATTGATGATTATGTTAGTTTGTCCAAATACTTATGAGCCCTTAAAGTCGGGGGACTGTGTGAAGAAATGGTTGTAATTCCTACACGGTTCATACTACATTTTTGAAAAAAGCCTTAAATGAAAGCTGAGAGTCTGCACTTTAAGCAGGTATTCATTGTTTCATTTAAAATCCATTGTGGTGGTGTACAGAGCCAAAATGATGACAACTGTATCATTGTCCAAATAATTATGGACCTAACTGTAAATGGGAGTCTGGGAGTAATTGGTTGACAGTGATTTTTATCTATTAACGTGCATTATATGTTATAATAGTTAAATTTTAATGAGTTTGTTAAGACTGGTAAGCTTAAATTGTGGTGTTGAGGTGGCTACTGGTGTGTAAGTGCTCCATGCAGAGATATCTGCTGCTGATTAAACCTCCTCTGCATCTTCATCACACCATGCACTTAGAGCAGATTTAGTTAACCAAACTCACATTATTGGAATTCTTGGCAATGAAGTCCTTCAGAAATGTTCCAGACAGTGTTAATTACAGTTAAATCAGATATGGTCCAGTTATTACGGTCTGGATCATTAATAGTGCTAGTCTCACTGTCTTTATTCCCTGTGTCAGTACAAGTTTTGTGCCCTGTCATTGTCTAAAGAAAGAAATCCTGAAGACTTTTCCTCAAATAATTATTTGAGGTCCACATATTTATTTCAAATAAATATGTGGACTATTAATACCTTTAACCCTCATTAAAATCAATGAAACACTACTCTCATCACTCCCTTCATACTGCTATAATTATATCTGGCATTAAAATATGCCCTGTATGTGGACAAGTTATCTGGACAAGGAAAAATGCATATTATTACAGATGATTGGGATCAAATCAGCCAGACCCATCTGGAGGTGGTCAGGGTCACATTGTGATTGGATGTCGGTCAGGTGTAAATGCAATTCATACAATGTAATCAGTTAAAAATCAATAAAAAATTACATGGCTTTTATTTTTTATTTTTTGCCTTTTTTTCTATGAGTTGAAAATCTTTTTTTTTTTTTTTAAACTTGGAAGAAAGCCTGGCAAAAGCAAAAGTGATAGCAGCAGCTAGAAATCCATTGCCAGCCTAATTAGCATATTAAGAATCAATCACAATGCGGACACAAACACGATGACATGATGGTGATACCAGCGCACAGACTCACAGATTCGGCTTCATTATTCAGAAAATGTATCCAGATACAGATAATGTTGATACCAGGTGTAAATGGGGGCTGTGTGTGTTTGTGTGTGTAGTCTTTAAAGGTACTGTGTCTGAAAAACTGAGCTGAAATAAACTGTGAGAACTGATGACTGTTACTGTAAAGCAACAATAAACTACAATACTGACTTACTAAAACACTGAACTGAAATGTTGATTTCTATCTTCTTTAAACCAAGAGCAATAGCAGCTCATGGACATTAACTAATATGGTTATTAAAACCATGAGCGTGGTGATATTTTTCATGCCGTCAACAAATATGTACACACTAAAACCAACAATGAATGTTTCCTACTGACAAGTATTGTGTCTATTCAAAGCCTGATATGTTTTATGTGTTCATTTCTTGTCTTAAAAACTATTAAAAACACATCAAGAGTCACACTGATGCTCTGGCTGACATGCCCTGTCATTACCATGAACACACACACACACACACTGTAGTTTATTTTGACTCAATCCCACATACACAATCCTGCTGCTCCAAGTACTCACTAGAGCACCAAATGTGGATTAATCCACCACTGAAAATAGTCCCCAACAAATGCTCTGCATCCTACTGCTTGAATAAATTTTGAATAAAAACTATAATGACCAACTGTTTTGTGAAATTGTGGATCCCATTAGCCCTTACCAAGGTAGCAACTACTCTTCCTAGGGTCTTAGGGTTACCGAGCGTCCTTTAAAACTTAGATTTGTGAGCTGTTTTTAAAGATTTACGTATTCAGTAAGAACCAGTGTGCTTGGGGTTATAGACAGGGTAAGAGAGTCAGAAAGCATTGAGAGACAGACTTCTACATTTTACTTTTTTCATGGAAATACCTTAAGAAATAGAGTAGCACCAGTCCTATCCTTTGAGTAAATAAGGAGGATTATCTAATTTGAATACAGGTTCTGTTCAGCCAGCTGAGTCTGGCCAAGTAAGTCAAATGCACCTCAGGCTTGTTCAAATATTTGAAGCCAAATTCTGGTAGATTTATTGAGGTGTGGTTGTTTGGTGTCAGGAAGACACAGGCCAAGTTTACTCAGCTAATTCTACTGGGACAAGTCTTTTATTACATCATCTGTTGGTATCAGATGTCCTTGGCTCTGTTTTACTGTCAGCATGAAAAGAGGAGTATTACAGACAGGAAAGCAGGTTTCAGGGCTTCACACACAGTGTTACAGTATATTGTGCATATTCCTATATACAGTAAGCTACTGTAGAGTTAGATTTATTCATTTAGAGATTAATCAGTTTAGTAAAATGTGGACAGACTGTAAATAGTTCAAAACTATTTTTTGTAACTCAGTACAACTGCAATGACCAACTATTACAATGATTCGCATTATTTAAAAAGTCAGAGATGCTGTTCCAAGTCCATTTTTGTAATGAAAAATCCATTGGCAACTACTGTACATCCACATTTTTCAAATTTTTACATACACATAGGTATATATATATATATATATATATGTACATATACACACACACACATATA